TTCTACATCCCTTAAGTACCCTGCTATCATACAACACTAATTACCACTTCTATATACCATACGGGCAGAAAATGGGAAACGAGACCAACAGCTTTCATTTCCATGTAGATCTCTAAGATTACATATACCCAAGCAGCTAGGGAAAAAATGATGATGAATAATTTTAGGGGCCTCGCCAAGAAAGCTATAACCCATGAAGGCTGAGGTTATTTAAGTATCTACTGACTTAAAGCACCGCTAGAAGCAGATGCCCGTTTTCTTAACCATGGTGATGTTTTTTTTACCAAGCTTACAGTGCTCATACCAAGCAATGAAAAACAGTGCTTTGACATGCTATCCAAAACCTTGGATAATATGTTCCTACTACATGTGATCTAAATGAACACAATGAGCAGGCACACAGTAACACCAGAACATGAAATCACGTGTTGCCCCAAACCACATTCAATTTTGCAACTTTCAAGAAAGGCATTCTGGTTCACAGAATACACGAGACTAGCATGCAGTTTTTAAACACACAGCAAAGAGAACTGGTTTCTAAACTTTGTACAACCACTGATTAATAAAGTAACTTTGGACAATTCATGAAACCTTTCCTGTGTTTCATTTTCTAGATCAACTACAGGAGGCCCCCTAGAAATGACTTAATACTAAAACCATGTTTGTTTAAAAGCATGAATCAATAGTGTTCCTTCTCTTCAAAACTGCTTATATAATTTTTACCATCTGATTTGGAAAACTCCAGTTCATGCTGACATCCTCAGACACAGCAATAGTCAGAGTGTGTTCTGTAGACCAGTGTCAGTCCACAGCTGTCATGGTCCGAGAAAAGATACATCAGAAACGGAGTAAATATTTGAAAAGCAGTTAGAACAATTTTGCATCTGCTGAATCAAATAGTAAAATATTGGGGACTTCATTTATGTGCCATTTCATTCTTCTAGCAATTCATTTGAATTTTTATTGTATTTTACAGAAGCAGAAATTCATGACAGATTAGAAATAAAGCACGTGGTCCTTTACCATAGGTAGTTGGAGAGACGCTGTTCTAAGAGATGACAGCACTGAACACAGAGGGAAGTCCTTGCTGCAAGAAATGCCCTCTTGTATGTGTCTTTTGACAGAGCGATTTCAGACAGGGTTGCGCAGCTGGAACCCAGAGTGCAGCGCTGGTGCAAGGATCTTCTGTGCTTACTACCTGATAATGCTAGCAGAGGTCTTAGGAAAATAAATATCTTTGTGGCATTCAAAAAATAGATTTATGAATTCTAAATAACGCCAAAGAAAATTATAAAATTTAAATAGACATGGAATTTTTTTTTAGAAACAGGACATGTAAAAAACTTTTTAGGGCCGAGCCCATGGTGCACTCGGGAGAGTGCGGCACTGGGAGCGCAGCAATGCTCCCGCCGCGGGTTCGGATCCTATATAGG